TTTTTTGCACAGGAATGTAATGTAAACCAAACCTTCTTGAAAGAACTTGAAAATTGGATAATCCAAAACATACAGAAATTTGAAATAACAAAGACTTTGGTTTGGTTTGCAATTTTGGGTGATAAGCGATTGCTAAATCATATAATCTTTTCTACTCAAAGACATTGCTTTACTTTATATGCTTTTATTCAATTATAAAAAATAAAAAATAAAAAAAAAAAAAAATAAATAATAAAATATGCTGGAACCCAGACGCATAGAAGAGGACTGTTTGAATACCTTAATACAAGGCAACCTTCCTTTGGAGTTACATTTTAAGTCAGCGCTTCTGGTATGTATCAACTGTCTCATTTACAGTGAGGATCAGTTGATTGTTCAAGGAAACATTATCTATTGTTAGGTATATAATGAATACAAGACAACTGCAATGCCTCTTGAACAAAGACAGTGTTACTAAGGGATGAAAATCAAAGTGCTTGCTGCTGAGCAGTTACCACGAACCATATCCGCATACCCCAAAGGATACATGTTGAATAAGCACGCCTCTCATCAATCTGGACTACATTGGAGAGCTTGTAATGTTAGACTTTGTACAGATATTAGACTTGACTGGTATGTAGGTGACTTTGAAATGTGAGGAATAGAACTGAATGCTCATTTAGAAAACCTTAGGGTTATCAACAGATGGAAAGGACTGGAAAACATTAACAGGAATTATTGCCGCATGGCGCAAAAGAAGATTAACTCTTATTGGTAAAATTACTGTCTTTAAAACACTTGCTTTATCTACTTAAGTACATATTCTTATTGCCCTCCCTCATCTTCCCAGATCATTTATAAATAGTCTGAAAAAGATATTTTTCAATTTCATTTGGGATGGCAAGAAGCATAAAAAAAGAGAGAAAACTCAGTGAGGATACATGAACATTGAGGAATGACTGATATTACAAACTATAATAGAATGATTGATATTACAATGCTTTAAAGCTTTCACATTTGAATAAATATATCAAGAAAAACACTTGTATGGGCCTAAACGGCATCCCTTCCAAAACATTTATATATTGGGTGCAAACTTTGCCGGGCACACTCACTTAAAAACACCCTTTCTGGAAGATGTTCTTAATATCAGGTCACAATATGATAAAATACATAAAACACATTTTGATATGGGGGACTTTGTGAACCACTATGGGTTTACCACCAAGGTTTTACCACCAATTTCATGACTCTTATCTCTGCATCGATAGCTGGTTCAGGAAAGGTTTTCATTCAATCAACAATATTTGTAATGATGATGGCTTCATGAATTTCGAGGAATTAAAAACATGCTTTTGAACGCGATCGAATAATTCTTGAATACAACAGAATGATTATAACCATACCAAAGACACAGAGAGACATCATCAAACAAATGAGTTAAACAAAAGAAAACCTTACTATTAACGCACAGCGTTCTAGCTTACCAGTAGACATAAAAGGTTCGAGATTTTACTACGACAAGTTGATCACCACACAAAAAACCTTGCGAGTATGTCTAAAATGGCAGAGTCTAATATCTTCTGATATTGACTGGAAAATGTTTTTTAATAACTTTAGAAAATGTACAAAAGTATTAAACAAGATAGAGCTACTTTTGAAAATCATTAAAGACATTTTCAACATCGAGAAAGTTATTGCCAAGAAATCCCAGACATCTACAAAAAATTAGATGTATTAAATGCACATGCTTCACATACTTTAATAGTGTGGCTATATGAATATGTGCAACTATTATTAATAGTAACATGTACTATATTCACGGCCTATTTAATATGTATGCTGAACCGCAAAAGAAACGCAAGTCAAAATTCAGATTTATAAAAACTTTACTTTTGACAGATACTGCATGAAAACAGGTACATAACAACAATCAACACTTATTGCATGGTTATTGGGACATGTCAGTCAATGCATGGAAACATTGTTGGTTTACTTTGCATTGAAGACAAAATCGAAATTGATCCAACAAGTCAGCAGCCGCACATGTCCGGATGATGGCTGCCTGGAGTTCTGCTGCAGTTGTCGGACGTGGTCGGACTTCATTCAGTCGTCTCTGCAGCTCGTCCCAAAAATGTGCGATCGGGTTTAAATTGGGCCTGACAGCAGGCCATGGCAGTAGTTGGATGTTGTGCTGCTGGAAAAATGCCTGAGTGACTCTAGCAGTGTGGGGCCTGGCATTATCTCGATGGAAAATATGTTGCTGGTGTCGGACGAAAGATGGCACAACCTGGGGTCGGAGGATCTGGTCGATATAACGTTGGGCAGTGACTCCAGTTCCCCCACCTGGCCCAACATTCTGGAAGAATACTGGCCCTAATCTCTGATTCAGGCCAATCGCTGCTCATACCATAACGCTCGGACCTCCCCATGCATCAATTTCCATTACACATTCGTCAGCAAAGCGTTCACCTCGTCTTCACCATATTCGAACTCGGACGTCAGCATGAGAAATGCAAAACCGACTATCATCAGAGAACAATACCAGTCTCCACTGTTGATGACGCCAGTTTCGATGCAACCTAGAACACTGCAGACGATTCTGACGATGTCCCGGTGTGAGGATAGGACGTCGAGCTGGACGACAACAACGGAGGTGGACTGCTCTGAGTCTGCGCCGAACTGTATCTCCGCTTATTGCTCGGTTGTGACACCATGCATTGTCTTGAACTTTGCTTTAGCATTGCCCCAGTTTTGGGGTTCACATAACCATCCTTGTGTTTAACAGTGTCATGTTCATACCCTGCATTTTGTAGACAGATATATGATTTGAATTCATCGGTAATAATGTTTGTGCCAACTTCTATATGGGCAATGATTAAGCAGAAGAACCTGTTTACTTTGTCTGTCAATCAGACCAAAGATCGAAAAGTTTTTAATACCCTGACCAGAACCCATGCTGTATTTTCTCTTCCTCCCCCCATTTACTCTCATCCATTTCCACCACATGACCAACTCCACCAATCACAGCATATATTATACCAGTTATAAACAGTGTTCTCACACACGCTTTAAATAATTAAATAACGTTCCATGTTGTGCTGTGTTTAAATACATGCAATATCCAGTGAAATACTTAAATGCCCCCAAAGCCAAGGCTCAACTGTATGATTTAGAATGACCACCAGTGCACAAGAGTGACTCTTTCCACCAAAACAATCTTCCAACAAAGGTAAGTCCGTCAAATCGTCTCATCAGTAGAATTTTAATTCCCCCATGGGAAATGATTGCAAAGTCATACATCATGTAGGTATCCCCAAAGATACGTTGAACTGCCTCATCTTCACATGTCACATCTTGTAAAGATTCCTGAGTTGAAATATGGTTCCAGTTCACAGGAAGATTCTTCACAATATTGGTGCGGTTAAACACGGCAATATGAGTAATGTATGATTGTTTCTTCTTTGACCACCAAACTAGTAATTGTTTTATTCTTCCTTCGTTGGCACTCCTCAGTTCATTTAAATACCCTCAGACAAACATGTTGACTCACTCATGAATAACACACTCAAAAACAAGCCCCAAGATCATTATACTTTTCATGGAAGCCACACAGATATTTGCCAGTGAGGACCTGATGGTGTAGTCAATAGTGTTTTTAGGCGGATACCTGAATGTCTGATGAATATAAAATTTCAAATTCAGTCTGTTCATATAAAATACTGTATTCAAAGTGTTTCTTTTGTACCTTCGCTGGTTGAACGCCCTCTTCTGTGTTTGCTCATAATTGTAGTAACACACAACATCCAAATCATGTTCAGGAAACAGTGCTTTAAATCCATAAGAATATAGATGTTCATTTTCCTCATCTTCCTGAAAATCGTCAATGGGGACAAAGTTAGTCTTGGATGTACACAGAAATTACAAAGTTTGTCCTTATCCTTGAAGACAGGGTAACTTCGACTTAGCCAGCACTCAGTATTACATATATGAACTTCTTTAAGAGACATTTTATAAGTTGTATAGGTGAAGGAAAACCAAGTTTTTGGACTATGGATAGTCAACTTCTTTATTGCAATGAGTGCGACGTTTCGGTGTAGGTACTAACACCGTTATCAAGCATGTGATACAAAGAGTTGTAACAAGGAGAATATATAAATAGCTGCATAGTGAGAATATACAATTGACAAGGTTGATATAATTAGTAATCCAGCGTGTATCAACCTGTGGTATTGTATGCTTTTGATTTGATGACGTCACACAGGAATGAATCTCGTTTGGTGTGCAAAGACGTACCTAGGTATATGCCGATTGGTCCAAAACGATCGCGTGATATCAGGCTGAGATGCACATTTCTCCTATGCGAAGGTCATTGCCCCCCGAGACCAACGGTGGACACCCATGACCACCATTTCTTAGGTCAGCTCAGTACAAGGGACCGCCTCCTTGGTGTAGTGGTTAGAGCGTCCGCCCGGAGAGCGGTAGGTCGCGGGTTCGATCCCCGATCGCGTCATACCAACTTGTTGGTCCCTGCCTGGCTCTCGGCAACAACTGGTCGTCTCGGAGTCAGTATAATGTGTCTGAGTGGGGTATTCATGCTTCACTGCGGCATGGTATCTCAGTGGGCTAGCACTATAAAACCAGCTTCAGTCTGGGCTAGTACAATCAGCAGCACCTACACATACACATGCATGCACGTCGTCATATGAGCGAAATATTCTCAAGCACAACGTTAAATCCAATTTCACCTCACCTCACCTCAGTACAAGGTCATTGACCCCTGCTGAAATGAGGTCAGCCTGGTGTTTATTTAGGTGAACAAAATGGCCGACTTTCAGACAACCGAAATTCCCACACATTTACACACTTCAGACATAAGTAACCCCAAGACATTTACATACTTCAGGCCTACGTAATCCGTGCAGATTTACTCATTTAGACCACGGTGATCCCAACACAATCACACACTTCAACTTACCGTCACCCAAACACACTTAATCACAAGAGAGCTCTTGTTTCAGCAGTTGACACTGGACGAAACTTGGCTTTGAGGAAACCGGCTAAAGCCAGTTCCACTTACACAGCTTCCTATCAAATATGGGCGTCAAATGTTGTTGACGGGTCACCTTCAGGAAATTTTAACGACCTCACATGTCACAGCGGGGAAAATGGTGATCTGAATCCCTGGTGGCAGGTGGACCTACAGGCCGTCTACAGGATATCAAGGGTTCAGATCGTTGGTCGTTCAGATTGCTGTGGTAAGCGCCCAAATGATTTGCTGTGATATTTGTGTTTTAAGCCCTACATTGTAAAATCCTGTGTAGGGACATGTTTGGGTGGATGGTTCCCTGTGTGCTTGTTTGTTTATTGTGGTGGTGTTTGAGCCTTTGAATGGTTTGTTGTAACATTTATGTTGATGGTTGTGTCCCTGTGCTGGGGAGTGTGTCCATACATTAGTGAGTGAGTGAGGTAAGAATTTAAGTCACATCAGCAATATTTCAGCCATATCGTGACTAAATCAAGTTATAGATTGATGATAATTAAAAGTAAATCAAAACATCTGTCAACGAAGGACAGTAAAACAACATGACTATCACAGACATAAATGTAAAACTAGTAATTAACCTAAAACAGTTTAACTGTATGACGAAGGAATGATTTCAACGTTTCAATAGTCAACGTTCCTTTCATGTCGAGCACTTGCTCCAGCCTTTGGTGTTTACATTTCACAACTTTTGAGGTACAATCGAGCGTGCTCTTTCTACCAGGTCCTCAGTAAAGCTTTCAAAACTTGTCATGGTTGACATGTGAGGCCATTTCCAAATTTTATGCTTCAGTAACAAAAATGATGTCCGATACAATTCATTATTTTGATCTGTACCATACTAAGAGAATAACCCTCGAGGTACGAGTGATTACGGGAAATATGTCCCGATTGAAATTAATGTTCACTGTCCCGAGCTTTAGCGACAGACTTTAACGTTAATTTCACGAGGGACATATTTCCCGTAATCACTCGTACTTCTTGGGTTATTCTATTTATTACCCATTCTGTAATTAAACCGAAAAACCCTCATCTTCTAATGTAAGTGTTTGCAACTAAATCAGCTGATATGTATTAATGCGGGGATGAAACCAAACTGCTCAAGCTAATGGAATCGCAAACGAACCACAACATAGTACTGTAAAAAACTGTATGAACGTTTGTCAACATTTTGCTGAATCGGACTGTGATCTAGTTTTGGCTCGCGTCAGTGTTCTAGTCAGGAACGATAACTCTAAAGTCCGAGTCGACAACAGTTTTCGTTCGCAGCCTAAACCTTTTCAATGTCATTGTCAAAAACAGGAATAAACCTGCCAAAAGTTGGGTTTTTTGTCGATTAAGGGGTCAAAAAATCATCTTGCTTTAAGCTATTTATAACACTCTACGAAAAGAGGAGGCTTTGGCGGGATGCCGACTCGCTCGCTATCGTTTCCGGCAAAACTTTCAGTCAATACGTATAGCTTGCGACTTCCATTTCACCATGTTCAGTGTTTTTACCATACACGCGAAAGGAATTTAGTGGTGGTATTATTCTCGTTACACGTCCAGTAATGTATCCGTCCACTTTGACCAGGTCATTGACGTTGATTGCAGTTGCCTGGGTAGCCATGCTTGTTTACAGAATATGATTAGACAATTTTTGATTACAAAACATGTTGTTAAGTAAACGACGCCATATTGTTAATGAAGTATAAAATGGGGCATTCAAGAAGCATCCAAATCACAACCATGTAATGTTTGTTTGTTCTAAACTGTTTATTTTAAAATCTCGAATCAGTGTGATTACAGCACGGCCAATATTCGTCAATGGATCGATGAAATATTATGAATGAACGTCGTGGTGTGAAAGTAGTTCCGACATCCAATGGAAATGTACAAATATACGATCGACCAATCAACGTCGAGAATCACAACATTGCACTCTGTGTAAATATCAAAAATATATTACACGGGATCTCCTCACCCGTATGGGTAATAAATTCCCTTATTATTTTAGTCGACTAAACTTAGCTATGTTTATGATGGGTGTCACCGGTGGGGCAGGATACGCTCACCTTTTCGCGAACACCTGGTATCATTATTCGATAGTGATTCATAAACACATGCTCTGTCATGGTTTTGCAATCACTGGATTGTCTGATTGTACAGACTCGATTGTTTAAGAACAACATCGTATAGCTGTAATATTGCTAAAACAAATAAATACTCATACCATAGTCACAACTGTAGAATCAAACTATATTACGAGCTATATAAAGTATATTACGAGCATCCAGCCACGACATAAAGCATAACATACAACGTATCAGTCCTCATAACCCATTTACTGTACAAAACAATCGTGTCTGATAATTCCAGCAACTGAGTGGCTGCACGACTTCTCCATCGAGATGTACGTCGAGGACCCTGCCGTCAGTGTGAGTATCCAGCCCTGGTTGTGTCACTTCTACAAGGGCGTCTTCAAACCCACAACTCAAGACATCAAGTGTGACTCTGTGGTTGCTGGGAGATTCGTGAGGCTGTCAAGGAACAACACACGAGATCCTGAAAAGACCCTTCAGTTGTGCGAGGTATCAGTGTACGGGCCAGAGACGTACGGTAAGTTAGATCCGCTTAGGACATCATATATGTATGTGTGTTGGCGTGTGATTTTGTGTTTGCGAATGTGTGTGTGTGTGTGTGCGCGCGCGCGAGTGCACGTGTGTATATGTGCGTGTATCTGTATGTGTTTGCGCCTGTGGGCTTCTGATATTTGTAACTATGAAATAGTCCTTCCAGGAAATATCTATGGAGTTCTTCATCCCAAATATTGTTCTACTCTACGTTCTTATGCGAAGGTAATGAATTTCTTTATTCAAACGAAGAATGAAAACATACATACTGGTTTGTGCGCACACACACAGGCACACACAATGACACACGCGCTTGCGCACTCATACACACATATCTCACTGTAATAGTTCTCATTCTCCCTCCTAGCATTGTGTAAACATGTTTAATCTATCTATATATACTACCCATCAAAGTTTAGACTCACTTAAAGCACTCACTATATGTTATGTATATGTATGTGGTTACATCGAAGATGAATTTCTCCACCAACTTGGGGAACCAACTGAAAACCTTATGCAGATGAATTGCACAAGGATGATGCTTCAAATTGCGAAAGGCATGAGCAAATGTCGTGCATGTGAACAGATTCGTTTTGGTGTAAAGTTTTGTTAAGAATTCGCCAATTTTCACAGATTTTAATCATTTACTGAACTCATGACAATAATCTTTTCAATGTTACGAATATGTTTTACAATACACCAGTTCATAACTAAACAGTACCTTTACACAGTATGGAATATTTTGCAAAAGCTAGTTTAGAACAGTGGACAAGTAAGTGGCTACATTTACACTAGTGAGTCTAAACTTTTGATGGGTAGTATATATATAATATATATTCACTCTGTGTACTGACTCAGTATTCACCTGATGAAGGAGCAAGAATTAGCTCTGAAACGTCGTGTAAAGAATAAAATAAGAAGTTGTATCCATAAAACGTGTCATGTATTCAATAGTTCTCATGTTGTACAAACACCGGGTTCTGCCATTATTCCAGACAGCATACTTTAAATCAGCTGTGTGATACTGGTGTGTGTCTGTTTGTTGCCAAGTAATGACAGGAAATAAAATCAATATACATCGAACACGTTGTGTCTGTTTATTGCCAAGTAATGACAGGAAAGAAAATCAATATACATCGAGCACGTTGTGTCTGTTTGTTGCCTAGTAATGACAGAAAAGCAAATTAATATACATCGAACACGTTGTGTCTGTTGGTTTTCAAGTAATGACAGGAAAGAAAAACAATATACATCGAGCATGTTGTGTCTGTTTGTTGCCAAGTAATGACAGGAAAGAAAATCAATATACATCGAGCACGTTGTGTCTGTTTGTTGCCAAGTAATGACAGGAAAGAAAATCAATATACATCTAGCACGTTGTGTCTGTTTGTTGCCAAGTAATGACAGGAAAGAAAATCAATATACATCGAGCACGTTGTGTCTGTTTGTTGCCAAGTAATGACAGGAAAGAAAATCAATATACATCGAGCACGTTGTGTCTGTTTGTTGCCACGTAATAACAGGAAACAAAAGCAATTTATGTTCTGTGAGATATTGTCATATTTTAACGTCAGGTTAGCACTCATAGTTTCTGTCCCACCAGGCGTTGTCTTGGTTGCTTGGTTAGAAAGAGACACCAAGCGTGGTGTATACATGCAACAGCGTGGTGTATACAAGCCATACAGTACTGAGGATGGTAAGTGTCTAACAAGATATTTGTAACTTTGTTATCAACAGCATACTTCCGTAAGACAAATCTGTCACTGACTGACGTCATCGTGACGACGTTGCCCCTCGGGATCCTGCACTGTAGCGTCATCTGTACAACCAACCCTCTCTGCATGGCGGTCAAGGTGGTCAGCGATGGGACACCCGCATGTCAGCTCGTCTACAGGAGTGTCCACCGTGCCAGGGAAACTGCACTGACACTTTCGAATTTCTTTGTCCCAACGTTCAGCCAACTGGATGTGTAACTCCCCTACTGCAAATGCGGGCGACAGCGACAAACTGCGACAGCTGACTTGAGCAGAATTACATTCTTTAAACACAGACACAGACACAGACACAGACACACACACACACACACACACACACACACACACACACACACACACACACACACACACACACACACAGAGTTAAACAATCTAGAAGAACATTCTGAGTAAATGTACAATATACTTCAATACATAGTATATGTTATACCTATTCACATTACACCGAAAGTCGATTTGATATAAGTAGTAGTTTGAGTATCTATTTTGGTGATTTGAATTATTACGGACTGATTTTGGACTGGAAATAAAATAATCGTCTAGTTTGTCTCGAGTTTTCGTCACAGCAGGAATGACTTGGGCCTCCTGACTTTAATGACCTTTTCTTGGCTACCATCCAAACCCGTATCTGGAGCATCGAACGGTGCCAGGGTCACATACGCGTGATTCCTCATACAGATTCCACTATTTATAACTCAATATCTCAATGTATTTTCTGGCAAAATAGACGTGCAATTCATCATTTAGTATGTCTGGAATTCTTTGCAAGAACTGCTGTTGTAAATAGACAACAAGTAGTAAAAAAATATTTTCGATCTTGATAAAGCCTACGATACTATCTAGAAGCACAGCATCTTACATCATTAACACGATTTGGATTTGTGAAGCCTTTTGCCTCATTATATATCACATTATTTTGTACAACAGACAAATTTCCAGTTGAGTGGGTTCCACCTTGCCTGATCTTTTCAATCAGGATGACAGTGTTCTACAGGGCAGTCTGTCAAAAGTTTTAAACGACTCCATTGGTAGACTGATAACTGTGGATGATTTTAATCTTTCTTGTCGCGGTAAAACCATGCACACCATTGAATGACTGTGCCTCATTAAACTTGTATTTGTACACACATGGGTTGACGGATAGTTCAACAAAATAGTTCCAGTGTAATTTTTGAAGCTGATAATTTTTATTTTCCCTCGTCTGAAGCATAATTATTTTGTTTTTAAATCCCAGTCATATATCTATAGGGGTGAGTTTGCTGGCTGGAACCTGTATGACATTTTGATGACAAATAGTAATCTTAATAATATTATGGTCTATTTTTAAATTTATTTTGACCTCAAGCGGTGCCTCCGTTTCGCTTGATTCTTCTTCTTCATCTTCACTGCAAGATTGTCTTGCAAGATGTAAAATCGGATCGTACTGATACGGTCTAACATCCATTTCAGAAATGACATTAGGAACATCTTTTACTGCTTCAGAATCCACGGACACTGTTAAGTTGTGAGGTAAAATCAAAGAGGAAGCCATCAGCAACAGGCACATATGACGTCATGTCACGTGATACCAACTCTGCTCATTAACTGTCGGGTGTTTCCGTAATAGGCGGAAATAAGAGTACGTTTTTGTGTTTTATTGCTATTTTACTAACTTTTTGTTCAATTTTACTCACGGAATGTGACTTTTACAATATCATTTACAATATATCAAAAGTTTTGTTTTCGTTCGTATTCTCCTTTAAACTTGTATTTGTACACACATGGGTTGACGATAGGACAGCAAGGTGTGTATAAAACAAAATCATTTCAATTAGAGAGAATAGAGTCTGAATAATGTAACTTCATTCCGAATTGATTTGATATATGGTTGATTGTCATTTTAGAAGATGCTATTTGATGAACATAGAGATTTTTTCTGAGTTATATCTTCTATTTATTCTAAATAAAAAGAATAAAAAGATGACGTAACCCAGAAAAAATCTTGATTAGATATTGTTTCAGAAAACATCTTCTATGTAAATAAACAAATAACATATATTTCTAAACAGTGCGGCGTTGTTAACGGATCGGTCACAGCGGATCGGAATATCGTTTGTGTGTTTCGAGCTGTCAGTATAGTCGCGTATATGAATTCAGTTCTGTTATGTCAACGGGTGCACGAATTCAGGCATTAAGATAAGTGTATTCAATATCCCCAACTTTCTCTTGGAGACACTATGGGTAGAGAGGAGGCTTCAACTTTACAAAGTTCAACGTTCCCGTTATGTCAAAGGTAAGCTATTCTGTTAAGACTTGCACCAGATGTACTTTTTATCTTGTGAACAGTTGCCTTGCCCTTGCATGTATTTCTGATGGATACCACTGGAGGGCATGATATGCTCACCTTTTCGCGAACACATGGTACCATGACCATTGGAAAATGATTTCTAAATATGTCATCTTAATCGGAAACGTACAATGGACTTGTAGCAGAAATTTCTTTTGACGAGTTGTATCGCATATATTTATGTGATGTCATGGTTATTAGTGAACCAAGTATCTGAATTATTTATGTAACGTCTGGAATAAGAGGTATTCATTACACTCACACCTGTTTACAAATCATGATACTATAAGTTTATATTTCTCAGTATGTATGTTTCTTGTTTTGCTTCAGGTTGTATTTGTCCATAACTGAATTGTACATACATGTATGCCGTCTGCTGAAGTGGACCACACTGCCGTCATACTGATGGAATGAAATATGTTGGCTGAACAGACTTTAGTAAACAATATGCAGTACATGTATAACATATGTTATATTTAGGATTACACTTTCTTAGTAAAGTACAGATTCTAGTACTTTTTGGGTTGAGTCCCATCCGGGATTCGAACCCCCACCCTCAGAGTCAGGCACCTAATCGCCAGCACACAAAGTCAGACGTCTAGACCGCTCAGCCACCGCGGCTTCCACTAAGCTTGTGGAAGTATGTTTCAGGTGGCTGAGAGATTAGGTGCCCGACTCTGAGGGTGGGGGTTCGAATCCCGGATTGGACTAAACCCCAAAAGTTCTAGAATCTGTACTTTACTAAGAAAGCGTAATCCCAAATACAACATATGTTACATTTTACCACTTTCTAAAATGGCATTGTGTATTTAATATACAATATTGGGGTTATAACTAACTAATGACTATTTTTATATTACCTTGAAGGTGTTTTTTGTCAACGAATGTTACCTTTAACCTGAAAATCCAAATATACACAGATAAATATTTAATTGTTGTTAAGCATTTCAATTAAAATGATTTCATATTTAATCAGTTGGCTTTCTAGTTTTCGTTATTGTTTATAAACCTGTGAGATATGTAGTTCTCGCAAACGGAACCCTATTAACCGTCTGTGCAGACAGCTGAAGGTAACAGTCTAGTTTTCGTTATTGTTTATAAACTTGTGAGATATGTAGTTCTCGGAAACGGAACCCTATTAACCATCTGTGCAGACAGATAGCTGAAGGTAACAGTCTAGTTTTCGTATTTATTCATAAAATTGTGAGATATGTAGTTCTCGCAAACGGAACCCTATTATCCGTAAACATTGCGGACGTTACCGTGTCCTTGAAAACTTGTGATTCGAATTGACACATTTTAACCGTCGTAAAACATAAACGTAATGTTTCCACCAGTGATGTTAGCTGCGTGAAGCAACTGCAAACCAAGAAACGGGATGCAACGGAGTAGTTTACTGTAGGAGACCGTACGAGGCGATGACAACTGACATGCATCGTGACGTCGCTTACATTGTGACGTAATGTAAAATGGTTCGATTACGAGGGGGCACACTAGAATGGCGCAGTGACGGGATAACGTCATTCAATTGTTACGTCATCAAAAACCTATACCTTTATTGTCTGATAATGTTTGTTTCTTTCGATTGTTCTAACCGCTAGGCATCTTATAATAAATAGTATGTTCCCTCCAATATCCACGGATCATGGGTGACGGGGTGCATTTAACACGTTGTATTTAGGGTTGCATACAAACTGCATACGGGTTTCACTCCTAGGAGAGATGCATATAAGCTGTATCACGTATTGCCCTCACATTTTGGTACTTGCACAGATTGTTTTTTTACGAAACCACGATATTCATAAATAGAAACAATAATAGTGAGAAGCTGTGACCTGAACAGACTTCTCCGTCGCTCCAGTGAAATTTCAGGTCCACAAATAGGCAAAGCACTAGTGTTACATATAAAATCCATAAGAGCTCCTACGTTCCAAGAGCTCACACATCTTTCTAAGAGACACATCCGTATGCAAGTTTATGTGTCCCATGTAACTGAGGATATGAAATATCGTTTTAATGACCAGGCTATTTTTGTTGAACAGCAATTTATATTTGATGATGTGATTCAGGTTTCTCTAACATTCTCACGGCCTTCCTTGTGGAGTTATTTAACAACAGGTATAACTGCAAATCCACTGCTCCAGCTTACCCTTTAGATCGAGGGTGTCCAAGCTCATGTTAAAGACCAAACTACAAATGACCTTTTTAACAACTGCAAACGAATGAGCCCGCGAGTGATCCAGTTCTACAATAACATGTAAAACTGAGATGGAAGGAAGAAAGAAAAGTTGGAGAAACATATGAGAATTCACAAATTCATGTACTCATTACTACATCAACAAAACGTGTACACCTCAGACTAAAGGGTAACAGCTAGTAAGTGTTTAATCACAGAGACACGAAACATTACAAAAATTATGGACAAGATGAAATAGGTCTTATGGTTGCTTAGTTTAGTAAATAAATAAAACCGTATAGATACTGTACAAAATAAATGTTCATCCACACCAATCATTATCATTATTAGAACGAAGGAATGGAAAATGAAAAAAGTGACCTTGTTTTGATTGAAAAAAATAGAAACCAATTCTGTAGTATAGTACCGAAGTGTACAGTAATAAAAAAAATTTAATAATGAAATGTACATATAACTGCATGTAAGACAGTTTTGAATGTGGGTCCTCAAATACCAAATGTAACTGTTTATGGTGAACGAGGACGTTACCCACTGTACATTATAAACGCACAAAGGTTTATCATATGTTAATGCATTATAATAATTGTGGTCATGATAACTCTGTTTTATCTGTGCCTAGTTTATTGTTTTAATATGAATTTGGTTATGTTTGGTTATTTCAAGGTGTCGGTAATGAAGTCCAGTTAAATAATCCATTAGACATGATGTCATTCCTTAAATTCTTAGAAGTTTTAGATTTTAGATTAGATGTAATATTTTAGTACTCAATCGTGATGTCACAAGTAATTAAGCTATTTTGTTAAAAACAACACCTTGAGAGTATTTCATATTTTTGAGGTCTACTTTGAACCATTTGAATTCAAAACGAAATATTCTGATCACAGAAGCATATACTACATGTGAATTATGAATATTGTACATGTAGTTATACTAAATAATTACGTGCATGAAACAGTGACACCGTTGTCATGGGAACGCAGGTATGCCGCACTTGACAATAAGCCCGATCCGTTTTAAAAACGGTGAAGTGGTGTCCTTCACATAGCGAACACGACCCAACACATGTTAGCTTTATGTGTATGAGTGAGTGAGTGAGTCTAGTTTTACGCCCTTTTAGCAATATTCCATCAATATCACCTTGGGGGACACCAGAAATGGGCTTCACACATCATACCCATGTGGGGAATCGAACCCGGGTCTTCAGCGTGAGGAGCGGACGCTTTAACTACTAGGCTACCCCACCGACCCTTATGACATGATTAAACAACGATTATAATTGATAAACCTCGATGCCATGATTAATGGTCATTTCGTTTATACTATATGTTCTGTTTTTCTTTATCTCGTCACTATATGGCTGAAATATTGACGAGGTGACGTTAAATTTTAACTCACTCACTCACTCACTCTGTTATTCTTTAACACAATGATTCATGTCCCACCCTTCACTGTAAAATGTCTTAATAACGAGACATTATGATATCAACCTACATATTTAGGCGCGTGGTTTTACGATTCATTGTCTGGCATCATGACGGAGCGACACAATATTTTTCTTTTACATTGTAGCCATGTTGGAATCGAACCTGATATCCGATGTGAGTGAGTGAGTTGGTGGGTTGGTTGTGACGCTGATGTGAACCACGGGCTCATATCGTTAAGTGATGCCGTGTGTCATGTGGATTGCACACAAATGAAGGTGAAACTACTTTCGTGCCACATTGTGTTGTTTACATGGTGGCTTTAATTTTAGATAGAAAGAGTGTGCCGAAATCTGGAATGAAAATGTCGTGAATGATTGTTAATAACAGAAAGTACGTGAATTATATCGATATATCACCGATCAATTCCAGCGCATTTCCACTTGGCCACATGCAAGATGTAAACTTAAACCTATGGATATATAGAGAATCTCTCCCATCAAATGTATCAACATTAGTTGATTAAAGTTACAAATATCCAAGGCTTTCCGAGGATATTTTTACTTTAATCAACGAGTGTTGATGTATTTGATCCAGAAGACATGAGGATGATATTTAATATATCATCCAAAATCATTCTTCATCAGTTATCAGTAAAAGAGTGAATGCATCTGAACACACTGATGCAGGTCTCGTGTCTCTGACACTTAGATTCGCTCAATAACACAGTCGATAAAAGTAACAAAATAACCCCCCTGGATGACCCCTGTATCCTGTGGACCATTTAACAAACAAGACCTATAATGTAATAGCATTGTACCTGACTTGTAGCATGATAGAATCCATTTTTCACTTAGTGTATACATATACAGCAATAAACACACGGTTACGTTCCTACTGTCAAATCAGGACATGTCAAAATTGCTTTTGGTTTTTCAAACACAAATTATGTTTTCAAACATTAATTGATAGAAATCATCATATGCGTAAAAGAATATTCGTTAAACATTTAGAACGTTTTTATACAGTAAGATGTCTATAGTACGGACATAACAAAGGGATTTGCCTTGCTTCTACTGCGTTGCAACATTCATTTGCTGAATAATCAATAAATTTTGGTGACAATTAGGTACACATTGCACCGGTTATATCGCAGATCGATACCCTGAAGGCAAGTATACTATGACTCCTCCACTCATGCATTTATACACATTGATTCAAATTAGCTATATTGGCTACGCCAGACATCGTAACGGCAATTACTTGTGAAGAAGTACCTATCATAATTTATTAACTAGCATAGTAGAGTTTCTATCAGGAACCATTCTTGAAGCATGGATATTCCACGTAATGTTTTGTTAACTGTTGTGGATGAGAAGAACCAGACGGTCGTGCAGTGCAAGGATTAGGACACGAACGTATACTGGTTGCTTTAATCATAATGACACCCTTAGTGTTATCATAAGCTGGTTTCCGAGCAAATGAAGGATTAAATTTGATAACGACTAGTTAAAATTAAAAATGATCTACTATCTATGTCGTTAACTGTCCATGGCCTTTAGATTCAGTGCATGGAAACATTCATGTATTTGTAAACAACTGTATATACGAAATTTACTTAAATGAGATGGGCTGGTTGCTATATTGGACACTCATTCTAAGGCAAGGAACGAATGATGAATAAACACATGTTTTACCTGTGCGGAAAACACAGTGACTGATGTAATCTTCACATTAGACAAGGACAACAGCTTCCGTGAACAGTTACAAAACAGTTACAAAACAGACCCGAGGCACCACTTTTAAGAACAAATTAGTCAGGACACCATCTCAGCTACTGAAGACAAATGCCATCCATTCACTTGGAACATTGGAGACACATATACTAAAGACATATAGAACAAGCAGGACATATTCTCCAAAGCTACTGATGACAAAAGATCACACATCCACTTGGAACAGTGGAGACACTTATACTAAAGACATATAGAACAATGCAGGACATATCTTCCAAAGCTACTGATGACAAAAGATCACACATCCACTTGGAACAGTGGAGGCACAGATACTAAAGACATATAGAACAAGCAGGACATATATTCCAAAGCTACTGATGACAAAAGATCACACATCCACTTGGAACAGTGGAGACACAGATACTAAAGACATATAGAACAAGCAGGACATATCTTCCAAAGCTACTGATGACAAAAGGTCACACATCCACTTGGAACAGTGGACTGACTGACTGAGTTTGGTTTTACGCCGCTTTTAGCAATATTCCAGGAACATCACGGCGGGGGACACCAGAAATGGGCTTCACACATTGTACCCATGTGAGGATTCGAACCCGGGTCTTCGGCGTGACGAGCCAACGCTTTAACCACTAGGCTACCCCACCGCCCCTGAAACAGTGGAGACAACTACAAAAGACATATAGAACAAGCAGGACATATCTTCCAAAGCTCCTGATAACAAAAGGTCACACATCCACAACTACACAACTACTGAAGACAAAGGTTTAACCATTCAGTTTGGGGCGTTGAGACCACCTTCCACCTACAAGACATCCAGGACATATCTTCCCCAGTTACTTCTTGGGGCTGTACTTAGAGTTTGCTGAGGACACAGAATGATATGGCAATATTGATTGACACCGTTACGAAAGAAAAAACAAGCATCACGTGTGAAGGCAGTATCAACGGTTCACCAGTAGCTACGGGCAAGACAGCTTGTGTAGACAGTGCGGCAGTATCCAGCTTGGGACAAGACAGCTTGTGTAGACAGTGCGGCAGTATCCAGCTTGAGAAGGGGTAGTCCTTCTAACGTCAATGACCAGGAAATATACCACAGCTCCGGTTAAACACAGTATGGCAACTTGGATAAAACATACATTTGACTATTTCATGGTGATGATTTTGCTTTCATATAATGTATTTTCCGACGATCTGTGTAACGACTGTTTGGTGGAATACTCACCTAGTTTCGACAACCATGCTGTAAGAGATCATCGCCTGTGGATCAGATCTGCGCCGCACCAACAGGTTTGCTTTCGTCTATGTCGACTAGACACCAGCTGCCTCAGTTTTGAATTCAACCCAAACACCAAAAGCTGCCGAGGACATGCGTCCGCCTTCACGTCTCCCTCCCTCGTTTCCACATCGGCAGACAATGGCAACAAACGATACACAATATGCCCAGGTAGGTTATTATTTACCCAAATGTTCTTTCTTGGTCTTCTGTTGTACACTGTTAACCAGAGGCTCATATTGTTGAGTGATAGCGTGTGTCACACAACAGTTTACATGCAGGCAGTTGTCGATTAGCTCTTGGGACAAGGTAATGACACAACATGTTATTGGCTTTCTTTGAGATGTACCATGTGGTCGACGTCCTCCTGTTGGGGTACGTAAGCCCCAAAACATTCAAAGTCAATTTAAACATACAATTATTTTTAACCGTAGTATATATGTTGTTTTAATTTATTACTAAATTGTCTAAACTTGCTGACAGCTGAAGGGGTGGGGTAAATTCAGCTAGGGTTCATGCAGGAAGCAAATGTACTGTAAGTCCCCATGGTCCCTAGCATGGGGATCTACCTTCAGTTCTTGGCAATCCATTGCCTATTTTTATATTGCATTGTCTTCTGTGGCTAAAATTATTTTAGATATACATACTTGTTTGATATTCATAACTGTGATATTCTAGTTGATTTTACTGTCCTTCGTTGACAGCCTTTTTATAATTTACATGTATTTATGGTGAATTTACAGCTTGTTGTCGCCACGATATATCTGAAACATTACCGATGTGTGACTGTAAATCTTAACTCACTCACTCTACAATAAATAAGCTTCTTCTATTACAGATTATCTTGGGTGTTTTAAGGACAACAGTACACGTGTCTTGCCTTATTCCAGAATTGAAAATATAGAGATGACCAACGAACTGTGCAAAGACCATTGCAGAACACAGGGTTACGGACTTGCTGGTACTGAGGTATGTGTTGTATTCAATACTGTGGAATGTGGGAATACTAGTGTAGATACCTAGAGTACTGCAGAACACAGGGTTACGGACTTGCTGGTACTGAGGTAGGTCTTGTATTCAATACTGTGGAATGTGGGAATACTAGTGTAGATACCTAAAGTACTGCAGAACACAGGGTTACGGACTTGCTGGTACTGAGGTATGTGTTGTATTCAATACTGTGGAATATAGGAATACTAGTATAAATACCTAGAGTACTGCAGAACACAGGGTTGCGGACTTGCTGGTACTGAGGTATGTCTTGTATTCAATACTGTGGAATATGGGAATATTAGTGTAGATATCTAGACTTCTGCAGAACACAGGGTTATGGACTTGCCGGTACTGAGGTATGTGTTGTATTCAATACTGTGGAATGTGGGAATACTAGTAAAGATATCTAAAGTACTGCCGAACACAGGGTTACGGACTTGCTCGTATTGAGGTAGGTGTTGTATTCAATACTGAGGAATATGGGAATACTAGTGTAGATATCTAGAGTACTGCAGAACACAGGGTTAAGGACTTGCTCGTATTGAGGTATGTCTTGTACTCAATACTGGGAAATACAGGAATACTAGTATAGATATCAAGCTAGGGATCTGCGGTGTAAAGAAATATGGACTTGGTTACACAGAGGAACGTTTACGTTTAACCATTATACGTGTCTTCGGTGCTGATGGACACTGGGGGTTTGTGATTCGTCGTACCTTGAGACATGATTATGAATAACAATGTATTTTGGTAATGTATTTTATCATGTCACCAAAACGTCTTTTGTTGTTGTTGTTGTTGTTGTTACCAGCTGAAGGTTTCACCAACTGATCAGTACCTAGTAGATACCAGAAACACATCTTTTGTTTTCAGAACACTGATGAGTGCTACTGTGGCCACTCTATTCCTGCTGCTCGGAGAAGAGAAGACAGCAAATGTGACAGGCAGTGTCCAGGGAAGACACCACAAATGTGTGGAGGTGTTTGGTTCTTGTCAGTGTATAGTACACGTCGCCCATAGCGCTATAAGATCAGGGCATTGGGATAGCCTTGTGGATAAAGCGCTCGCTCGGCTCGCTCGAGTTCGATTCCTTACAGGGGCACAAGGAGCTAAGCCCAATCCCGATGTCCAATGCCCTAGTGGTGTTGGAATATTGCTAAAAACAGCACTAAAACAATAGTCTCTCACCAGCTGAATCAATGGAAGTTTTGGAATAACTGTCCAGGTTCTGCAAATCAGTATTCTTGATTTGGCAGTACAATACCCATGCTATCTGTTTTAGAAGAAAGTAAAGGTTTAGAGACACCACTGGTAACTATACTGTACTGACACACCTCGCAGTAACCGAAACTTTTGTGTCTTTGTTTGTTTGTGGTTAAAACCGCTCTCAGCATTATTCCAGCTATATGGAGGCAGTAAATAATCGAGCCTTGACCAGACAATCCAATGATCAACAACTGGGGCATCGATCTACACAAGTGGGACACGACGACATTTATCTTGCCTCACACATAAATGTCGTTTTCTGATTGTCTCAACGCTCTTCTATTATTTTCAGTGTACCCCGCTTACAAGCTGGTGACATTTTCTATACTCATTTGGTACTTCGTGGTAGTAATTCTTTATCTCGAATAACACTGAATCACACGTATGATGAACGGAAATTACCTATGTTTTGCGAATACAAATCGATGGAAGGGAGATAACTCTACATTTTGTTTTCTTGTCGTCTTGTACTCCATACTATGACCCGATACCCGTGCTTCAAACAGTTCAAAATTGATATTGAGGTGTTCGGTAATTAAATACGTTGTTCACTGGTCCCTCGGGGTCCATGGGTTGATGTACTCGATGGGCGAGGGGAACATAAAGCAACATCGAGGGTACATCAGCCCATGTCCCCTTCGTGACCAGTGAACAACTTATATAATGTCAACCAAGTCAGCGATCCTGACCACCTGATCCCGTTTTCGCCTCTTACGACAAGCATGGGTTAGTGAAGATCAATTCTAACCCGGATCTTCACGGGTCGAGTAAAACCCCAGGTCTGTTACAGTTCCGTGTATATCAGCTGGAACTAGTGAGGCTAGACTGACATGCTATATGTCATTAAACCAGACAGATAAATATTGTACGCTAATGTGATTATTGATATCAATATCTGATTACCATCACAATGTTGGAGCGTGTTCAAGCTATCAGTGTAAAGCAATGAAACCACGGCGGTTATCAATGAAACTAAAACAAAGTCTTGCTTACTGTTTACAAGAACAAAAGATATTTCATATTGATGTAATAAATTAACCGTTATGTTGCAAGTTTTTGCCAACAACAGCATTAGGAACAATCTGCTACTTATACGTTCACCTATCAAATTCAAGCAATATTCAGTACATTGTACATTGTGTGAAGCCAGTACGTAAAATTTTCATGCGTAGATCAACACGACAGTAGCTTAAGGTGATTACTGGTCTCGGGATTGTGTATTAGGAACAAGCTAGTAGTTAGACGTTCACCTATCACGATCCAACTATATTTCCTGCATAGTAAAAGATGCGAAACCAGTACGTCAGTACTGTCTTCGGCATCATGAGACTCTCCCATCCCGCCACAGCACACACAGTAGGTCAGACACATGGTGTATGTTCCTCATGTTTTCAGTAGGTTCTCTGAAGATCTAGTACTGCGAAATCAAAATATAGTGTTCTTGTTCATATGCTCGCAGTGATATCCAAATTAACGCCTTTGTTTATGTGTCATTACGAGGGCGCGATGGGTAGCCCAGTGGTTAAATCGTTTGCTCGTCACGCCGAAGGTTCGGGTTCGATTACCAACATGGGCGCAATGTGCGAAGTCCATTTTTGGTGTACATTGCTGTCATATTGCTACAATATTGCTTAAAGCGGTGTAAAACCCAACTAGCTCACTCACGTATTATGAGACTTCTAAGTCTGTTCTTATACTATTTATTTAACTATACTAGGAACAATAGTCAATGGAACCCCAATCAAGCGACACAGTTACTGTTTGCAAACTTTGCACATTGCACTTTGCACCCGTGTGACATGTCATCATTCATCGTGGAATCTTGCAAATAAAGGTTATAACCACATGGTTCTCAAATCGGGTATAACGAATTCAACTACCTCCCGAAGTGTTATAACAGAGCGTAATACGCGAACGATAACGCTGCCCAATCGCAAACTAAAGATGCAAGGGAGTCGCTAGGTGATATCCTGAGTCATGAAAGAATGCCGACTAACGGTCGGGTTAACATTGAGGTGTGTGGTCCTCAGGTCACGAATCAGATTAAGTTAAGCAACGTTGGGCGCGGAGAATCCTTGGATGGGTGACCGTGTGTGACAACTTGACTCCTGAGAGTTTCTAGGACTTCAGTCCTGTACCACTACGAAGCACATGTGATACATGTGGTCTCACCCTAGGCATGTGAGCTTGTTCAAAATTGTCTCTGTTCACCCAGCAGAAAATGGGTAGCCGGTGGAATAAGTCATGAGACTATTAACCTTCCAGCGCCTCACAGGGAGCTTGGGTTATCCGTGGTAATAATAACCAGATTGTGCGCTTTGAGCAGGATATGAAGCCTGGAATGGCAACTTCAGGGCTGTAAGCCATAGGAATCCGACTTTCGGTGACAGCGTTGTGAAACAGGTACAAGACCAAGAGAAAGCACCCAATCCGTCGACTGTGTTGACCAAACTTTACGTCCAAGTTACATCCATTTCTTCAATGGGTCGGTCAGAACTATGCAGGTCCAGAGTGAAACGCACCTCCACGGAGACATCGTGCTGCAGTCGAGTGTCTGATTGCAATGTGTCACAATATTCTCTATAACCAAACTTACAGATGTTTACTTGAACTCCTTTGGTGTGTTCCGGAACAAGGTGAGGTGAGGTGAAATTGGGTTTAACGTCGTTCTTGAGAATATTTCGCTCATATGACGACGTGCATGCGTGTGTATGTGTAGGTGCGGCTGCTTGTACTAGCCCAGACTTGTGCGGGTGCGGGTGTGCTGTAGGCTATTGGTTCAGACTCGTTATGTTGCAGGTCGCTGCCATAGAGGTGAGGTGAGGTGAGGTGAGGTGGGGTGGGGTGGGGTGGGGTGGGGTGAGGTGAGGTGAGGTGAAATGAGCTTTAACGTCGTTCTTACGAATATTTCGCTCAAATGTGGACGAGCATGCGTGTGTCTGTGTGGCTGCTCGTACTAGCGCAAATTTAAGCTGGTTTTATAGTGCTAGCCCACTGAGATACCATGCCGCAGTGAAGCATGAATACCCCACTCAGACACATTATACTGACCCCGAGCCGACCAGTCCTTGATGTACCCATTAATGCCGAGCGCTAGGCAGGGACCAACAAGTACCATATTTTAACGTCTTTTGATATGACGCGGTCGGGGATCGAGCCCACGACCTTCCGGTCTCCGGGCGGACGCTCTAACCACTACAACACGGAGGCGGTCCCGGAACAAGGATTCAATGTGCAACACCCAGCTGTGGAAGACCCAGCTGAACCAATGGCGAAGGCGACAATTCGGTATTTTTTATAACAAGTGTGCCCTTAAGATGTGCCTGCATGGATGATTACAGGGCATGAACCAAATCTTGATTTCACAAAGTCATTTCTTTGCATATCACATCTGGATACATTTGGGTCCTTTAAATATATCCCGTGAATATTCATGTTGGTACTCATAAATACACTAGATTACATACTACATACTACCTACTACTGTATAGCGCCGATATCCAGCTCAGCCCAGCGGCTCAAAGGCGCTTAGTTTTTCCCTCGCTCACTGGATGTCAAATCTCAAAGGCATATCGTATTGCTGCCACTAGGCGCACCGGGGTATTGTGACATTCCCATCCTTACGAAGTACCCATTCACATCTGGGTTGACTGGGACCCATAGTCACAGTACTTTGTCAAAGTTCTGGCAAAACACTGAAAGAGTCTGCACACAAAGTTGACTCCAAGGTTTTTACACCCGGTCACAGGTGGGCTCGATCCCATCACCTCATGCTCGCTGGATCACTAGCATGGCGCTTTAGCCAGTTCGCCCACCGCGGCCCCGTATACATACAGTTACTGATTTGTTGCAATACTGGGGCCAGTAGTTAAAACATGTAAGATACCGTTACCAGTTTGAAACCTTGCAGAGGTTGTTACCTTCTTAACTTAATACTTTACACTGAAAATGAAACTTGTAATAAAATGAAGTTCACGAAAGAGCGTCTATTTTGTCACCATGACACCTGCCTTCCCTGTCGTGGACAAGTAAACCAACACATTATTGCTATGCATTATGCATGCATTATGAATGTTGACTACGCCCACGATGACATGATGGTTATGTTTTGAATCATTTGTTAGGATAACGTGATACCACATGAAACGAATGATAGTAAAGATGAAATGGCATTAACGTCTTCAAATGGTGGCCAGCATGTTGGGCAATACTTGGGTGACACCTTATCATGATGCCATATCATTGATTGACGTGTGTGTAGCTTCTGGTGGAAATGCTTGCCCAAATCGGGCTGGGCCCTACTCGGAATAATCACAAGGGAAGTTCACTGTCCTAGTGCCTTATCGTCTGAGATAATCGTTTGTTTATTTATTGTTTAATGTCGCAGCCTGCAATACTCCAGTGTAACTAGTAGTCTGTAGCAGGCCGTCCAGTGATTGACATCGTGAGCATTGATCTACGCTGTTGGGATTCGATGATATCTATCTGCCAACCAGCAAACCTTGCTGAAATCTATAGTGTATAAGGCCCTAAACAGTACTTCTTCCTGAAATCTATAGTGTGTACATGACCCTAAACAGTACTTCTTCCTGAAATCTATAGTGTGTACAAGGCCCTAAACGGTACTTCTCAATGAAATCTATATAGTGTGTAGAAGGCCCTAAAAGAGTACTAAGGCCCTAAAAGAGTACTTCTCACTGAAATCTACACAGTGTACAGGGCCCTTAAAAGGTCGTAAAGCCATACTCATATCTTGAGTAGCGTCTACAAGTCAGTAAGTACAACAACAGCCCCAAGCTGAGTATCGTCTACAAGGCAGTAACCAACTACAGCCCCAAGTTGAGTAGGGTCTAGGCAAGTACAACCACAGCCAACCACAGCCCCATGTTGAGTAGCGTCTACAAGGCAGTAAGTACAACCACAGCCCCATGTTGAGTAGCGTCTACAAGGCAGTAAGTACAACCACAGCCCCATGTTGAGTAGCGTCTACAAGGCAGTAAGTACAACCACAGCCCCATGTTGAGTAGCGTCTACAAGGCAGTAAGTACAACCACAGCCCCATGTTGAGT